AAGAGAAAAGAAACAAATGGCATTCAATAGAACTCCAATAGATCCAGCACCAGACTTTTCAGGAGAAACCTAACAGGCTGGGAGGCAGTGACATGACATATTTAAAGTGCTGAAGGAAAAAAAAAAACTTTTACTCTAGAATAGTACGTCTGGTAACAATATCCTTCAAATATGAAGGAGAAATAAAGACTTTCCCAGACAAAAAGAAGCTGAGGGAATTCATCAATACCACCCCTGTCCTACAAGAAATGCTAAAAGAGTATTTCAACCAGAAAGAAAAGGATGTTCATGATCAATAAGGAATCATCTGAAAGTACAGATCTCAGTGGCAATAGTAAGTACACAGAAAACACTGAAAATTATAGCACTGTAACTGTGGTATATACCTAACTCTTCAATGTCCAGACACTGAAGATTGCTTAAGATCTACTTAAGATTGTTCTCTGATCTTAAGTAGAAAGACTAAATGATTAACCAATTAAAAATAATAAGTACAACAACTTTTCAAGACACAGTAAAACAAAATGTAATTAGAAGCAACAAAAAGTTAAAAATAAGGTGGGGCAAGTTAAGGCACAAAGTCTTGATTAGTTTCTTTCTGTTTGTTTATGCAAATAGTGTTGTTATTAACTTTAAAAATGGGTTGTAAAATGGTATTTACAAGCCTCATGGAAACCTCAAATCAAAAAAATACAACAGATGCACAAAAAATAAAAAGCAAGAAACTAAACCATATAACCAGAGAAAATCATCTTCACTTAAGAAAAGACAGGAAGGAAAGAAGAAAGAGAAAACTGCAAAATAACCAGAAAACAAATAACAAAATGGCAGGAGTAAGTCCTTACTTATCAATAATAGCATTTAATGTAAATGGACTTAACTCTCCAATCAAAAGATACGGAGTGGCTGAATGGATTTAAAAAAAAAAAAAAAAAGGCCTGCCAGGCATGGTGGCTCATGCCTGTAATCCCAGAACTTTGGGAGGCCAAAGCAGATGCATCACTTGAGACCAGTCTGGCCAACATGGTGAAACCCCATTTCTACTAAAAATGCAAAATTAGCCAGGTGTGGTGGCAGGCACCTGTAATCCCAGCTACTCAAGAGCTGATTATAGAGCCCCAAGGCATTGAGGCAGGAGAATTGCTTGAACCTAGAAGGCAGAGGTTGCAGTGAGCCAAGATCACACCACTGCACTCCAGCCTGCTGGATGACGGAGTGAGACAATGCCTCAAAAAAAAAAAAAAAAAAAAAAAAAAAAAGCCCAATGATTTGTTGCCTACAAGAAACCCATTTCACCTATAAAGACATGTGTAGACTTAAAAGACGAAGAATGTCACTATGTAATGATAAAGGGGTCAATACAACAAGAAGATATAACAAATTTTAAATGCATGTGCACCCAACACTGGAGCACCCAGATATATAAAGCAAATATTACTAAAGCTAAAGATGGAGATAGGCCCCTATGCAATAATAGCTGAAGACACGAAAACCACACTTTCAGCACTGGACAGATTTTCCAGACAAAAAATCAGCAATGAAACATCAGACATAATGTACACTATAAGACAAAATGTCTATAAGACAAAATGGATTTAATAGATATTTACAGAGCATTCTATCCAACAGCTGCAGAATACTCTTTTTTTTTCCTCAACACACGGGTCATTCTCAAGAATGGACCACATGTTAGGTCACAACACAAGTCTTAAAACATTCAAAAAATTGAAATAATATCAAGTAGCTTTTCTGACCACAATGGAGCAAAACTAGAAATTAATAACAGAGGAATATTGGAAACTATACAAATACATGGAAGTTAAATAATATGCTCCAGAATAACCAGTGAGTCAATGAAGAAATTAAGAAGGGAATTGAAAAATGCATTGAAACAAATGATAATTGAAACATAACATACAAAAATTTGATACGGCAAAAGCAGTATTAAGAGGAAAGTTTCACACCTGTAATCCCAGCACTTTGAGAGGCCAAGACTAGTGAATCACGAGGCCAGGAGATCAAGACCATCCTGGCAAACATGGTGAAACCTGTCTCTACTAAAAATACAAAAATTACCTGGGTGTGGTGGCATATGCCTGCAATTCCAGCTACTCAGGAGTCTGAGGCAGAAGAATCGCTTGAACCAGGGAGTTGGAGGTTGCAGTGAGCCAAGATCCTGCCACTGCACTCCAACCTGGTGACAGAGTGAGACTCCATCAAAAAAAAACAAAAAAGAGGAAAGTTTATAGCTATTAGTACCTACATCAAAAAAGAAGAAAAGCTTCAAATAAGCAACCTAATGATGCATCTCAAAGAACTGAAAAAGCAAGAGCAAACCAAACCCAAAATCAGTAGAAGAAAAGATCACAGAAGAAACAAATGAAATGGAAATAAAACAACACAAAGGACCAATGAAACAAAAAGTTGGCTTTTTGAAGTTAAACAAAATTTACAAACCTTTATCCAGACTGAGAAAAAAAAAGAGAGAAGATCCAAATAAATAAAATCAGAGATGAAAAAGGAGACATCAAAACTGATACAGCAGAAATTCCAGGGATCATTAGGGTCTTCTACGAGCGACTTTATGCCAATAAATTGAAAAATCTGCAAAGAATAAACAAATTCCTAGACACATACAACCTACCAAGATTGAACTATGAAGAAATTCAAGACCTGAACAGACCAATAGCAAGTGACGAGATTGAAGCTGTAATAAAAAGTCTCCCAGTAAAGAAAAGCTCAGGACCCAGGGGCTTCACTGCTGAATTTTACCAATCATTTAAAAGAGAACTTATTCCAATTCTACTGAAACTATTCCAGAAAATAGAGGAGGAGGGAATACTTCCAAACTCATTCTATGAGAACAGTATTACCCTGATACCAAAAACACATAGAAAAAGGAAAACTGAAGGCCAATATCTCCAATGAATATTGCTGTAAAAATTCTCAACAAAATATTAGCAAACTGAATTCAACAATACATTAAAAAGTTAATTCATCATGACGGAGTGGGATTTATCCCTGGGATGCAAGGATCAAGGATAGTTTACCATACACAAATCAATAAATGTGATACATTGTATCAACGAAATGAAGGACAAAACCATATGATCATTTCAATTGATGCTGAAAAAGCATTTGATGAAATTCAACATCCCTTCATGATAAAAATCCTGAAAAAATAGATTTAGGAGGACTATCCCTCAACATCGTAAAACTCATATATGACAGATGCACAGCTACTACTGTACTAAATGAGGGAAACTGAAAGCTTATCCTCTAAGACCTGGAACATGACAAGGATGCTTTCTTTCACCACTATTATTCAGTGTAGTAATGAAAGTCCTAGCTAGAGCAATCAGACAAGAGAAAGAAAAACAAAAGGCATCCAAATTATAAAGGAAGAAGCCAGAGTTTCCTTGTTTGCAGATGATATGATCTTATATTTGGAAAAGCCTCAAGACTCCAAGAACGAACAAAACCAACCTATGGTAATAAAAATCAGAGGTGGTTGCCTCTGGGGTCAGAGACAGAATGGAAAGAAACAAGAAGAAACTTTCTATATCCTGGGGTGGTTATTACACAGATGTATACAGATGCAAAAGCCTAAAAATTCACCAAATTGCACATTTAATGTTTGTGCCTTTTTCTGTACGTAAGTCAGGCCTCAAAAAAATTTAAAACAAAAACACCAAAAAGCATGTCATGGGATTTGACATGAAATAGGAAAAGGGAGCAAGAAAGGCAAACTAAGCCACAAGGCAAGACAAATTGCCAGTAACAGAAAATCAAGTTCAAGGACCTTAGAGGCTTTAGTACTGAAACACCAAACACTTCCTCCTAAATGAAAAGAAGGGAGGACATGAGGCTGGATGACTTCCAAGGTTAGGTCATAAAAAGCCATGCTTTGTTCTCATGGGACTTGTGGCATTTGATGCTTACAGACCATTGGAAATTCTCACTGCTTCATCTCCCAAGTTTGCTGGGAGCTCTTAGAAAATTAGGAACGTGAGAGACTCACAGACACTGCTACTAATGATCCCAGCTGCCTGTGCTTTAGAGGTGATTTATAGAAGACAGGGAGCACTGCAAAACCTCGCATTTGAATAAATTAAATCCACCAATGCTCACGTATCTGCCTCCTTTTCATGGCTAGAGAAGCAAGCATGCCTCTACTTTTACCTTCCAAATCTAAGCAAGCACCTCTCCTTGGTAGAACCTACTCTAGAATAACAATGACAAGGAGTTACAGAAAATGTTGCTCCCAGGCTTTTAGAGCCTCCAAGAAAGAAGAGAGCGGAGAAAGAAGTGGGGAAAGAAAGCTGATTGCAAAGACACTAATTGCTCTTTTTAAAATTGGTATTTACTTGATTGCTGCTAAGGCTAAACATTTTCCCAATGCTTGCTTAGTATGTTTTCCATTTTATGGTAAACAGTGAAAAAGCTGTTGTTTTAGCCAAGTTCCATTTTTGTAGTGGAAGGAAAAAAGCTTTATGTGTAGAGTTCTGTTCTATATATATATATATATACCTTGGGTGCCCTTGTTGAGGATAACTGAATTCAGGCTAGTAACGGACACTACAGTTCGTGTGATACCCAAGCACACTGACCACAGGGAATATCATTGTTCCTAGTTATTGAGCAATTACTGTGAGCCAGTGCTTCATGCACAATCGCATTTCATGAGTTTCATAGATGATGTGACAGATAGAACATTTTTAAGTATTTCCTTTTGTATTTTTCACCTCACAGTAGTTTAATTCTTCTGTGGAAGCTCTTTTTCCATTTCTTTTCTTTCTTTTTTTTTTTTTTTTGAGACAGAGTTTCGCTCTTGTTACCCAGGCTGGAGTGCAATGGCGTGATCTCGGCTCACCGCAACCTCCGCCTCCTGGGTTCAGGCAATTCTCCCGCCTCAGCCTCCTGAGTAGCTGGGATTACAGGCACGTGCCACCGTGCCCAGCTAATTTTTTGTATTTTTAGTAGAGACGGGGTTTCACCATGTTGACCAGGATGGTCTCGATCTGTTGACCTCATGATCCACCCGCCTCGGCCTCCCAAAGTGCTGGGATTACAGGCTTGAGCCACTGCACCCGGCCTACTCTTTTTCCATTTCTAAAGCTGGATTGTGAGGCTTGTTGTCTTGAGGAAGGAGCGGGAGGGATTCCAGCTAAAACAAAGACAAGCAGCTGTTAGGAAGAGGACTGAGGTTAGGAAAGTCCCTTCCAGAAGGAAAAGAAGGGAACTCCTCCCCTTATGACTTGGTGAGGTAGTGAGAAAAAGAAGGAGAAGACAGTGGTTCAGATGCTAGAGTCCTGCCAACCCCACACTCCTGAGGTCCAAATGCTGGGGTGGGAACGGAATTTAGGGATTCCTACAGCATAAGAGACCATGGCCTGGCTTCCCAGGGTGTTCACAGGTCACAGCATCACAAAGAAACCACGTCCAACCTGGCTCCTGAGCACTAGATCAGAAACAGCAGAGGAACTGAATGTCTTCCAATACTGGTGATTGTGGTTAACCCTAAGGAAAATAATGTCTATAAAGGAGACACTGAATCCTCTGAATTTTGTACTCTGTGGATGCCCATGGCAGATAAATGACAAAAATGTCCACAATTCTATATCCCCTCTTTGTATCCACACCTTTTGCAATAAGACTTTGCAGCTCCTCCTAACAAGAGGCAAAGTCTATTTTCCATTCCTTGAATCTTGTCTGGTCTCACAACTTGCTCTGGCCAAAAGAATATGGCAGAAGTTACCTTGTACCTTGCACTGTCTCTCAAAACTTCTCCTTTCATGTGAACAAGTCTAAGCTAGTGTCCTGGAGGAAGAGAGACCACATAGAGGAGACCTGAAGTACCTGGGTTAACAATCAGCCAACTTCAGTAACAAAGCCACCTAGACAACCTGCAGCTGACCTCACGTGCATGAACACTCCCAGCCAATATCAGCTGAGATGAGAGGAACCAACCACCAAACTGAGCTTAAACTAAATTGTCAACCCACAGAATCATGAATTAACTCAATGGTTAGTTTTTAAGCTTCTAAATTTTGGGGTGGTTTGTTATGCAGCAATAGCTAACCAATACAATGCCTTGTCTATTAAAATAAATAAAATTATTTGTAAATAAAACCTTAGGGGAAAAAAGCAAGTAGCTGAGAAAGAAATGTGCATAAATGAGCAGGTGATGCAGAAGTTCCTATGTAAGAATGACAGGGAGGTACTGAGGGTCTGGTGGAGTCATCTAGGCTTGTGGTCCTTTCAAAGAAGCTTCAATGTATGGGTCTAATTGACAAGAAAACAAGTAGAGGGAGTAACGGAATTGAGCAGGGGTATCAATGCAAGGCCTGAAAAGACCAGTCACAGACCCAGTGCAATGACCTTGGGGACCAGGCCAGACTAACCCCCCTCACGGTAGACACTAGGCTCCTAGGACCCAGGAGACATACTCAGATCCAAGGCCTGCCACCATGCTGCAGGGAGAATCTTCAGCTTCCTCTGCACCCAGGACCTTCTGAACCACGAGGGAGGAAGTGAAATACTGAAAGGCCAAGTTGTTTCTGTATTTTTTCCTGGAAAAGACTGAGTTAACCTAAAAGACAATGGTGAAATACTGACTCCACCCCATACATATATTCCTGTTTTACAGATCAGGAAACTGAGACAGAAATTGCTCAGATGATTGGCCTAAGGTCACACAGCCATACTGAGTGAAGCCACGTTTTGAACCCAAACAGTGTGGCTGAAGAGACTGCCTGGATTGCATTAATCGGCAAGGTTAATCTTTTCCTTCTTGACAGGCAGCACCAGGAGGCTCCTGAGGAAGTTCAGATCAGTTACAGGAAATGAAGATGCCACAGACACAAATGTTTGCACAATCTGAGTACGTTTCACGTGGACCCCAGGAAAGGGGGGCTGAGAGAGCTGCCCATGATTATACCTTTAGGAGTTAGTCTTGTGCCCTCTATGCAGTGCCAGAAGGAGGCCCCCATGGGGCTTGCTTTATGATAAATCCTTCTTCTGAAGGAATGTTACTTCCTCTATCTTCTGCACATCATGAATAATGATAGTTAACATGTTTAGCATTTACACCGTTCTGTGCCCTTGCACATATTATTTCTTATAATCTCACCAAAACTTTTCTGAGGAGGGGATTGCTGCCGTTCCTATGCTGCAAATGAAGAAACGAAGACTCAGAAATGTAAGTGACTTTAAAATCTTGCACAGCCAAGAAGAGGAAGATCCAATGCTTGCTCCAAAGTCCAGCTGATTCCAGAGTGCATCCTATGACCTCAGTGCCCATCTCCATCCTGGGCACCTTGGACAGAGCCTATGGCAAGGGGTCATCAAGGTTTTAGCACAGTGATTACAGGAACCACAGCTCAGGCACAAAAGCAGGAACTACTTTCCTCACCAGCAGCCTTGTGTTGCTACAGCAAAAACACTTCCCCAAGCAGCTGTGGCCAAGGGACACAGAAACTGCCTTGTCTATGGCCCCACCTCAGACTTCAACACTCAACAGAGAGCAGAGGAGCCCCAAGTCCTGGGGACCACAGGAGGTGCCATGCGCTCCATGATGCCCGCCCCCACCTGCCTGGTCCACTTGCTTCCCTGCTTCCTGCTACTTGCTCTGGTCCTTGTCTTCTCAGGTAAGTGGGATCTAGGACAGAACAGGGTCCACCCCTCGCTGGTCGGTCCCTAGAGGGGTGCCAAGTGCTCCAGCTTGCCTGCAGAAGCTTGACCCCACGAAGATAAAGAGGGAGATGCTGAAAATTTGCCTGACCCCAGCAGAGAGCAGACCCAGTGTCTCAAGAAGCAGCATAGCGAAGTCATAAGCCTGCAGGCTCTGCGCTCACACCCGCTGCCTTCCAGCTTGGATGCTCCTATGCCCATGTCGGATGCTGCAGCTCTGTTGGCCCCAGGAGCCTTTTCTATAAAACAGGGACATTCTTGGGACCTTTCTCTAGGGCTGCTGTTAATATTAAATAGAAAAGTGGTAAGGCTCAGCCTTGGGCCAGCTACATAGTTTTTGAGACCCAATGCAAAATAAAACCCGGGATCTTTTGCCCAAAAACTATTGAGCCACACAGCAGAGCACTAAACCAAGCATGGGATCCTTCTAAGCACGGGGCCCTGTGTGACTATATAGATGGCACAGCCATGAACCAGCCCTGGCTCAGCTTATGACGCAATAGGCTCAAACCTCACCACTAACTGGTTTAAGTTTACTTTTTTCTGAGCCTTAGTTTTTCCATCTGTAAAATGGAGCTAAAAATAGGACTCACCTGTGACTTTCTTAGGAGAATTCAAGAAGATAATACCTGTAAGTACCTAACATAACAAAGATTTAGTAACTTTGGCCATTAATATTATCATTCCCACGTCTCGCCTAACTCAGGGGCAGGCCAAGTTAGCTCCTGAGTCTGGACTGAGGCCCCTGGATATAGCTCAGCCTCTGAGTCCAGAACTCTCTGATCTACCAGGTGACAATACTTGGCTCTCAGTGGGCTCATTCCATCTCCTAACCATCTGAGCCCCTGCTCCGGCCCTACTGAAATCTAGATTCTGTCCATCACCCCTTTGGTCCTCCAGAGTGTCCACCCCCAGGAGAGCTCCTGGCGGAACCCAGGTGTGGGGTCAGACCTGGATGCTCCCGCACTCATTGGCCATATGACTCATGACACCACTTCACTTCTCGGAGCTGATTTCCTCAATTGTGAGATGTGAATCGTAATTCCTAGATCTCATTCCACAAGTACTTTTGAGGGTCTGCTATGTTTTAGGCACTAGACTAAGAAATCAGAAATCTAAACTACCCAGAATAAAAAATGTTCTGAATGACTGTTGGAACTGAATAGATGGAAAATAAGAGAAGTTGCTTAAACCAGTCAGCTGGAAGGTTTCAGTCCAGCTGCATCTCAAGCTGAGTCAGGGCTGGTTCATGGGTGTGCCCTCTATACAGTGGCACAGGGCCCCCGCTTTGAAGGGCCCCATGCTTGATTTAATGCTCTTCTGTGTTGCTCAGAAAGGGACTTGCATTTCCATTTTGCACTTGGCCTCACAAATTATGTAGCTGGCCCAGGGTTGAGCCTCACCACTTTTTTTATTTACTACAGCAGCCCTAGAGAAAGATCTTATGAGTGCCCTGTTTTGTAGTAGAGGAGACTGGGGCTAACAGACCTTCTATAAGGCTTTTAAATGAAGCCCCTGTACAGGAACCATGAAAGGCTGAGAATGCAAATGGAAAATAGATGAGAAGGAAGCCCAGGGCTGGTCCAGCTCCACCGACAAAGCAGAGGCAAACCTCCTAGGACACCTTCTAAAGTCTATGTGACAACACGGAAGGAGACTCAGAACAGAGGGAGGGGAGGGGTGTGGGCACCAGGACTGAGTCCAGGTTCCAGCCCTGGTGTTCACTTCTCCAGACTCACCCCCAGCTGGGATAATTGTAATTGACGTACATTAAACCATACATATGTAAAGTACTCAATTTGATAACTTTTGTCTGTGAGCATTGGGTATATTTCACACTTGTGAAATCATCAGCAAAATCAGCATTTTGAATGTATCCAGCATCCGAAAGTTTCCTTGTGATTTGTCCTTGTCACTCCTTTTTGTCTCCAAAGCAACCATGGATCTGTGTTCTGTCACTATAGATTACATTTTCTAGAATTTTATACAACAAGGATCATGCAGTTGTACTCCGTTTTGGCTGGTTTCTTTTACTCAGCATAATTATTTTGAGATTCATTCACGGTGTTACATTGTCAGTAGTTCATTTCTTCTCATGTCTATCCATTGTAAGGACAAACCCTTTCCCATTCACCTGTTGACAGACATTTGGGTTGTTTGCAGTTTAGAGCTATTGTAAATAAAGTGTCTATGAATATTCATGTACAAGTCTCTGTGTCGACATATCTTTTGATTTTTTTTTTTTTTTTTTTGAGACGGAGTTTCGGTGTTGGTACCCAGGCTGGAGTGCAATGGCGCGATCTCGGCTCACCGCAACCTCCGCCTCCTGGGTTCAGGCAATTCTCCTTCCTCAGCCTCCTGAGTAGCTGGGATTACATGCACGCGCCACCATGCCCAGCTAATTTTTTGTATCTTTAGTAGAGACGGGGTTTCACCATGTTGACCAGGATGGTCTCGATATCTTGACCTCGTGATCCACCCGCCTCAGCCTCCCAAAGTGCTGGGATTACAGGCTTGATCCTTTGATTTATCTTAGGGAAATGAATTTGATTTTATCTCTCTGTGTGTGATACCACATTGCCTTGATTACTGTAGCATTCTCTAGGTCTTAAAATCAGGTGGTATCAGTTTTCCAATTTTATTCTTTTTCAAATTGTTTAACTACTCTAGAAATTTTAGATTTAGTTTATCAATTTCTAAAGTGAAGGCTGCTGGGATTTGAATGGGAAGAGCAGTGAATTTGTAAATCAACTTGAGAATAATTGACATCTTAGCAATATTGAATCTTCCAACATATGAACAGTGTATATCTCTATTTATTTAGGCATGATTTTTTCTTCTCTTAGCGATGTCTTGTAAGTTTTCAGTTTGCAATGCCTTCACATTTTTTGGCTAAATATTTTCTATTTTTTTATAATATTAATGACTGGAATTTTTAAATTCAAATATCAAATTCTTTATTGCTAGTATATAGTAATACAGATAATTTTGTATATAGATCTTTTATCGTCATTGTTGCTAAACTCATTTGTTAGGTATAGTAGCCTTTTTAAGAAATTTTCATTGCAATTTTAATTATGTCATCTGCACATAAAGATAGTTTCCTTTTTTCTTTCAAATCTGGAGGTCTTCTATTTCCTATTACCTTTTTGCATGGTTAGTACCTATCCTACAATATTGAATAGAAATAGTAGAAACAGGCATCCTTGTCTAGTTCCTAATCTGCAGGGAAAACATTCATTTGTGCACTACTAAGCATGATATTTGTTGTAGGGTTTTCACAGATGCCCCTTATCAACTTGAAAGGCGTCCTTCTATTCCTAGTTCGCTGAGAGTTATTATTAGAAATGCATGTTCAATTTTGAAAAGTGCTTTTTCTGCATCTGTTGAGATGATTATATGAGTGCATGTATATGCATGTGTGTGTTAGTTTAGTAATATGGTAAATTACATTGATTGATTTTTGAATGTTAAATCAACTTTACATTCCAGGGATAAACTCAACTTGATCATAATGTATTATACTTTCTACATATTGCTGATTGCTGAATTTAGTTTACTAAAATTTTGTTTAAAATTTTTTTATTTATGTTCATGAGGGATATTGTTTTTTTTTCTTATAAGGACTTTGGGTTTGGTTTCAAGATAACACTGGGACTCATAGAATAATTAGAAAAGCATGCCCCTTTTTTCAATTTTCTAAAAGTATTCATATAAAATTGGTATTATTTATTTCTTAAAAATATGAAAAATTCGGCCATGCATGGTGGCTCATGCCTGTAATCCCTGCACTTTGGGAAGCTGAGTCAAGTAGATCACTTGAGACCAGGAGTTCGAGACCAGCCTAGCCAACATGGCGAAACCATGCCTCTACCAAAAATGTAAAAATTAACCAGGTATGATGGCGCATGCCTGTAATGTCAGCTACCCGGGAGGCTGAAGCAGGAGAACTGCTTGAACCTGGGAGGCAGAGGTTGGAGCGAGCCCAGATTGTGCCACTGCACTCCAGCCTGGGTGGTAGAGTGAGGACTTGATATGAAAATTTACGAATGAAACTATCTAGGATTTGGGAAGATTTTTAATATCAGATTAAATTTTTTGATAGCTAATAGGGCTATCCAGGTTATCTTTTTCTTCTTGAGATAGCTTTGACAGTGGATCTTTTTCAAGGAATTTGTTCATGTTACCTAATTTGTCAAATATACATAACTTGAAGTTTTTCATAATATTCCCTTATATTAATATGAGTAAAATATGTAGTAGTATCACCAATCTTTTTCCTGATTTTCACAATTTAGGTTCTCTCTGTGTGTGTCTCCTCTGTTCAATCTCACTAGAGATTTATCAATTTTAATGATCTTCTCAAAGATTTTCTTCTTCTCATTGATCTCTCTCTCTCTCTCTCTCTCTCTCTCGTGTGTGTGTGTGTGTGTGTGTGTGTGTGTGTGTGTTTCTACTGTATTAAGTTTCATTTAGAGCTTGATCTCAGCATTTTGGGAGGCCAAGGCGGCAGATCACCTGAGTTCAGTTGTTTAAGACCAGCCTGCCTGGCCAACATGGTGAAACTCCATCTCTACTAAAAATACAAAAATTAGGCCAGCATAGTGGCATGCATCTGTAATCCCAGCTACTCAGGAGGCTGAGGCAGGCGAATCACTTGAACCCAGGAGGCAGAAGTTGCAGTGAGCTGAGATCGCACCACTGCACTCCAGCCTGGGTCACAGAGCAAGACTCTGTCTCCAAAAAAAAAAAGATGATGAGGATGAGGAGGAGAAAAGGGAACACTATTGGTGGGAATGTAAATTAGTACAGTCACTGTGAAAAACAGCATGGAGCTTTCTCAAAAATCCAAAAATAGCACTACCATATGATCCAGCAATCCTAGAATGGGGCATTTATCCACAGGAAAAGAAATCGATATATCAAAGGAGTGCATGGATTTCTATGTTTATTACATCACCATTCACAATTGCAAATGTATGGAATCAATCTAAGTGTCAATCAATGGATGGATGAATAAAGAAAATACATATATTTTGGGTGTCCCCAAGCACACCCACAGTGGAATACTATTCCACCATAAAAAAAAAATAATGAAATGATGTCGTCATTCAGAGCACATGAATGGAGCTGGAGATTATCTTATTAAGTGAAATAAGCCCTACTTGGGAGGCTGAGGCCAGAAAATCACTTGAGCCTGGGAGGTGGAGTTTGCAGTAAGCCAAGATCACAAAAGAAAAAGAGAGAAAAAAAAAGAAAGAAAGAAAAGAAAGAGAGAGAAAAAGCCAGACACAGAAAGACAAATATGAGGGTGCTAAAAATGATCTCATGGAAGTAGAGAGTGTAATGATAGATACCAAAGACTAGGAAAGGTGATGGGTCTGAGAGAAAGGGATTAAGAGTGAGGTTGGTGAATGGGTACAAACACACAGTTAGATAAAAGAATAAATTCTAATGTTTGATAGCAGAGTAGGGTGGCTATAATTCACAACAATGTGTTATATTTTTCAAAATAGCTAGAAAAGAGGAATTGAAATGTACCCAACACATAGAAATAATAAATACTCAGGTAATGGAAAGAAAAAAAAAACTTGCAATAGTAAACTCACATTTCTCCACTCCCAGTCTTTATTCTATTGATGTCACAACTTCTACTTATGCATGTGTTAGAAGCCTCACAGTAGAACGTTATTGTTTAAAATCCGTTTGGAGCCTTTTAAGATTTGTTGGGTGGACCAGAACACTTCCTTCTGGGCTGCATACTCTCTTCTATGGATTCTCCCCAGTGCCTGGACAATCATGAGGTTTGCCAGTGTGGCTGGTAAGAACAGGCACCATTCTTAGCTCTGTAGTGAGTGATGGGCACAGTTCTGTGCATGTGTGTGAGGAAACTTCCTGACGCAAGGGAAAGAACCAACAGGAAGGATTAGTGATAACAGATCTGACTGGCTCAAATAATGTTTGAGAGCGGATGTTGCTGAATGTCTCAGAACTGAGGACATCAAGGACAAAAGCAGTCCCTAGGATTCAACGGTGGTTACCACTTGGTTGCAATTGTGAGAAAGCTTTCTTGGTGGTTAATAGCACATGCCCAACTGAAGACAGGTAGAAATAAAATTTAGAATTTCATAACTTTTTCTTAGATCCTCTTAGAAGGCAATGTTTGCTTCATCTTCTTACTGTCCTTCCCTCATTCACAACTGAGAAACACCATAATACACTGCAAACAAATGTGTGGAGTGAGACTGAGCTCTTCACAAAGCTGATGGGAATACAGATAAAAAGGAAACTCAGGGCACAAATCTGGTGACCTTGAGTTGAGCAGAATCTTAAGTCACCTGATCTGAGTTCAAATCCTGGCCATGATATCTACTGAATGCAAGGTTCACTTCATGTTTCTTTACCACTATGAGCATTTGTTTTCTTTCTCATCTCAAAAATGGAGATAATAGGCTGGGCACAGTGGCTCACACCTGTAATCCCAGCACTTTGGGAAGCCAAGGTGAAGGAATCACTGAAGTACAGGAGTTGAGCCCAGCCTACACAGTGAGACCCCATCACTACCAAAAAAAAATTATAAATAAGTAATAAACTGAAAAGTTTTTAAACTTGAGATTATAATAGCATCTAGCTCACGGAATTCTTAGAAGGAGTACATGTGATGATGTCTGTAACCCAGAACTTCCATGGGCGGCCTCAGCCCTCTTTCTCTGTATCCACTTTGAGGACAAAATCAACAGTTCAACCTATCTTCACAACACATTAACAAGAACTGCAGTCTGCTGAAAAATTCGCAGGCGGCAGGAAGGGTATTTACACTGAACACTACAACACGCAAACCTACATCTCCGCAGCGTGGCATTTGTGGATTAACAGCCAGAGCTCCAGAAACAGGCTGAGAGGGCTTGAATCAAGCTTGTCACCCTCCTACGGGGTGAATGTAAGAATCTGCCAGAGCTTCCATAGCAAAGTACTGAGCCTGGGTGGCTTGAACATCTCAATGTAATTTCTCACAATTCTGGAGGCTGGAAACCCGCGATCAAGGTGTCTGCAGGGCTGGTTTGTCTGAGGCCTCTCCCCTCAGCCTATAAACGGCTGCCTTCTCCCTGTATCATCACATGGTCTTCCCCTCATATGTGTGTGTCTCAATTCCCTCTCCTTCTAAGGACATCAGTTGGATTAGATTAAGGCCCACCCCTAATGTCCTCATTTTAACTGAATTAACCTCCTGAAAGACCCTACCTCCAAATACAGTCACATTCTGAGGTGCTGGAGGTTGGGATATCAACATGTGCATTTGGGAGACACAATCCTAGCAGATGACCCTGGGACCACTGCCTAACCTTTCTGGGCCCTCTGTTTCCTCTGTGGAAAAATGGGAATAACACAGTTTACCTTAGAGGAGTATTGTGAAGAATAAGTGACATAATGCATGCAGGGCCCAGCACATGGTGAGTAACTTGAGTGTTATTTATTTGTAGGTTTTCCATTGCATAGCTCAGTTCTCTCTCTGCAGCCAGCCACCTCATCCCCTCTTTCCCTTCCCTCTCGAATAACACTCCTGTCTTGTCCTGGGCCGTTGTTCTTGGCCAGATAATGGTTTGATTGTTCTAAGCCTGCCTTTTAGGGCTCCAAGTCCTTCCTGCCCAGTGCAAGGTCTTTCTTTCTCTTTCGTAGAAGCCTCTGAGCAAAGCAGATGGAATGAGTGGCAGGTGCTACAGCCCGAGGGCCCCATACTGGTGGCAGAAGGCGAGACACTCCTACTGAGGTGTATGGTGGTTGGCTCCTACACCAATGGCATGATAAAATGGGTCAAGGTGAGCACTCAGGACCAACAAGAAATTTATAACTTTAAACGTGGCTCCTTCCCCGGGGTGATGCCTATGATTCAACGGACATCAGAACCACTGAATTGCGATTATTCCATCTATATCCACAATGTCACCAGGGAGCACACTGGCACCTACCACTGTGTGAGGTTTGATGGTTTGAGTGAACACTCAGAAATGAAATCAGATGAGGGCACCTCAGTGCTTGTGAAGGGTGAGTATCAGGCCCTGCAGGTCACATGTTTGCTCAGTCTGTTTCCCTGCACAGTCACTTTTATCCACTGTTTCATGCTGTGTCACACAAAATTTCAGTGGCATACAACAATACATATTTGTATCTCACATGCACATTTCCATGTGGCTGGGTGGTTCCACTTCTCATGTCTCATGCCAGAGTCCAGGCTGGAGAGGTAGCAGCTACGTGGGGCATGATTTTCTCATGGAAATGGCAGAAGCAGAAGCCCAGTCACAATTCTTCAAGTACACCTCAAGGATCTAGTCACATTATGTCTGCTAACAGCCCATTGGCTAAAGCAAGTCACATGGCTCAGCTCCAAGACAAGGGACAAGAAAGAATAGCCTTCCACCATGCAGCCAAGGTAAGAATGTGGATGTTCCCTATTACTAGCACAGAGTCAAAACCTGAGGCTGAGTATGTCAACTACCACACTCCCCAGGTAATCAATCATGGTATCTGTAAGTCCACCTATGGTGACCTGAATACCCAAATCCCAGGATTCTCATAGAATAGCAGTGCATTCTTAAGTCAGTTACCCTGACTCTACATGCCTCAAGTGCTTTGCTTGTAAAACAGGCAACACAATTTGCACTTCAAGGGTCATTCAGGTGACTAAATAGAACAGGTGCCTATGGAACCACCCTGTAAACTGGTGACATGGAGAGTATCTGTGCATGGGAGTTCATTTTCACTTAATGCCAGATTCAGGAAGGCTTCCCTGGCTTCTTCCAAGCTATGATGACACCTCCTTTGTAGTTCTGCCATCTTCTGGATTTCCAGTCTCTTGTCAATTTTTCGACCATGTTCACTAGCAGACAGAGAATAGCTTCAGGGCAGGGCACTTATGTGCCTTCCTGAGCTTCATATTCCCCAATTCTACCATTGGCATGTAGTAGGTACTCAGAGCCTCTTTACTGAATGAGTCAACTAATGAGTAATAAAGAAAGCAGAAGGGAGTGGCTGAGAAGAAATCTGGAAAGAAGGAAGGGAGGGAAAGCACCAGGGAGGAAATGATGGAAGAGGAGAGGGAATTCAACGAGGACCTCTTCTTTGGCTTCAGGAGCTGGGGACCCTGAACCAGACCTGCGGATCATCCAGCCCCAAGAACTGGTGTTGGCATCCACTGGAGACACTGTCTTTCTGAACTGCACCGTGCATGGAGACGGTCCCCCGGGACCCATCAGGTGGTTCCGGGGAGCTGGTCTGAGCCGGGAGGCCATTTACAACTTTGGAGGCATCTCCCATCCCAAGGCGACAGCGGTGCGGTCCTCCAACAATGACTTCAGCATTCTTCTGCAAAGCGTCTCCAATGAGGATGCAGGCACCTATTACTGTGTAAAGTTTCAGAGGAAACCCAACAGGCAATACCTGTCTGGACAGGGCACCTGGCTGAAAGTGAAAGGTGAGACAATTGGTTTGGAGTTGTCGGGGGAGAGGAGCAGGTTTCATGAGGAATTTTTCTACATGTCCCAAACAAGCCAGCTCTTCCCAGCCTCCATGTCTTTACATAAGCTGTTCCCTCTACCTGGAATGCTTTATTCTTTTCTCTGAAAACTCCTACTCATCCTTCAAGGCCCAGAACAAATGGCCCCTCCTCTGTAAAACCTTCTTCTCCTGTCAAGCAGAGTAATTTCTCCCGATTTGGGTTTCTACAGAATTCTATATGGATCATTAATAAATCAACAAACATTGGCCAGGCACCATGGCTCACTCCTGTAATTCCAGCATTTTGGGAGGCCAAGGTGGGTGAATCACCTGAGTCAGGAGTTCAAGACCAGCCTGACCAACATAGTGAAACCCCATCTCTACTAAAAATGCAAAATTAGCCAGGCGTGGTGGCACATGCCTGTAATCCCAGAAATTTGGGAAGCAGAGGCAGGAGAATCGCTTGAACCCAGGAGGCAGAGGTTGCAGTGAGCTAAAATCACACCATTGCACTCCAGCCTGGGCAACAAGAGTGAAACTCTGTCTCAAAAAATAATAGTAACAACAATAATAATTCAACCAACATCTACTACATGCCTGTTGAGTGTCCTGCACTGTACTAAGTACTAGAGATACTGCAATGAATTAGACATGTCCATACCCCAAAGGCACTCTAGCAGAAAGTCTAATTTTGTCCTTCATAGCTGCAGGGTTTGACTTCTAGCCCCCAACTTCAAGAAACTGACAGACTCATCCCAGAGACCCCAGCGTCTGGGACTCAGGAAGTGGTGGGAGATTAAGATAAAGGGAAGTATGGGAAAACCTCTCTCCCTTGCAGCAAAATCTACCTCTTCCCAAGAGGCAGAATTCACCAGGGGACGGGCAACTGAGATGTCTCCAACAGGTGAGTATACCTACCTCAGTGGAGTTAATGAGGCTACCATAGGCAAGGGGGCCATGAATGGCTGGGTCATGGGAAGGGAGCAGTCCCACACTCCTGGGGTTCATCTGCCACCAGGAAAGCTCCCAGGATCTCATCTCAATTGCAGCGCTGGGACCCCAGAGAACCATGTTACAACAGCTCAGTTGTAACAAACTTTCTCATAGCCAAGGCTATGTTTGTGGAGAATTTTGCTTGAGCTCCCTGGGATTCTGAGTGTAGGGACACACTGTGAGGCTGTGCACAACAACACTGGAGAACATGGCTTTGTAGCTAAGTCTCCTGGATGGAGCCTCTTCATAGTGTGATTGGCAGGTTCTCGCACCTGGAATCTGGTATCTGACTATATGAACTAGACGGGAGGGGACAAGCATCAGAGAGCTACTTCATGGGATTGTGTGTGGATTTAATGAGATCACACGTGCCAAGTGTCCAGAATGATGCCTGGCACATCTCCTGTTAACATTCGGGGACGCTCAGTATCTGGTGGGAGCTTGTGGTAGAGGTGGTCAGATTTGCCTACGTGATGCTTGGCCCTGCTCCTGCCATTCAAGGGGTCCAGACTGCCTGGGTCCCATGACTTCTTTAATGCATGTGGCCCTGAGAATATAATTTCTGAACTCTAGGTCTGTCTACTTATCTATAAAAATTGGATCACAATCTTATGCTCTAAAATTACCTTGAGGATTGCTTTAGGCAATTAGGAAGAGCAGAGGTTAGGGATGCGACTGAGATGATTACGGTGCAGGTACAATATTGGGCAACCCTTCTCTGGGCCCAGGGCAGAGGAAAGGGTGGCCTTTGATCACCTCTGTCACTGTAGAAAGGATACAGCTCCGGAGGTTATACAGCAGCAGGAAGCGACCTTGCCCATGAGCAGCACTGAGGTGTGAGCTGTGGGGCCCTTGCCACAGGTCCTGCCTGAGCTCTCTCCTGTGTCTCCCAGGCCTCCTGGTTGTGTTCACGCCTGTGGTCCTGGGGCTGAAGGCGATGGTCTTGGCTGCAGTTCTACTGGCCCTGGCTACCTGTCAGAGGAGACCTGGGCAAGAAGATTTCAAGACCACAGGCCCAGCAGAGCCATGAACACCTTAGCATGGAGCAAGGTTCAAAAGTGAGGGGTCAGCCCCAGAATGGGGATCTCCTGAGTCAGAGAGGAGCCAGGGCTCCTCAACCACTTCCCTGCCTCCAGTCCCAGCCTCCAGATGCCCCCAGGGCTCATGACAAACTCCGAGATCTGTACATCTGCTTTTGGTTCACCTAGTGAAATTTCCCTCTTTGCACCAGGCTTCCCTCTGAAGTGTCTCCCTTTCTCTTTTTGGCCTGTTCAGGACCTCCTTGTTTTTCAGACCCTGGCTAAGTCTCTCAACACCCTTGCCCCTGCTGCAGCCCTTTCTGATGTGACCTTCCCCTTTTCCCACCTCCCACATCCTTCTTGGCCTCCAACATCCAACTCAGAGTCATCTTCCCGGGAGGTGTCCCTAAGCATCTCTGAGTTCAACCAGTCAGACAAACTCTGCCCCTCTATCGACAGCCTTCTCCCCACCCCTCCTGCCTTCCTTCCATCCCCTTCATGGCTGGCTTGGGTGGGTGTCATATTAGGATGCAGGTTCAGCGACTGTAACAAAGCTTTTAAATAACAATGGCTTAACCCAGTAGAAATCAACCAGAACATTGACCATCAGCAGGCCACGCAATACAGAGACTCCCTGGTATTGAGACCCGGGACTCACTGCTCTCATTGCTACCAGGTCTGCTTTCCAGCCCGTTAGACTGGGGAAGAAGACAGGGAAGGGGAGCAGGACCCTCCCCCTTAAGGGCACAGTCAGGAACTTGGCCACCTCACTTACCTCTACTTGGCTGGAATGTGGTCACATGGTCATACCTAGCTGCAAGAAAGGCTGGGAAATGTAGTCTTTACTTCTGGCAGCAATGTGCCCAGTTGCAAGTTTTCACTAGAGAACCAGATGGTAGGTATCAGGGGATAACCAGTTATCTTCACCACAGCGGCAGACAGGCAGTCTCTCACCTGCCCTGAGTTTAAACCTAAGTTTAATGCCCAGCTAGCTGGCCAGCACTTCTTCCCACCATCACCTGCCCTGGGGTAGCATGATGTGGGGCAGTAGTTCCCAGGAAGAGTGATTTTGCCCCCATGGGACTTTTGGCAATGTCTGATGTTTTTGGTTGGCACAACTTGGGATGCTACCACCATCTAGTGGAATGAGAAACCCTGACGTAGGGAAAAGTGTGCGTGCCAGAGAGTCAGACACACCTGCCTTGAACCCCGAGGCCTCTGCCCTGCACTGTGCACCCTCAGTGACTAATCAGAGGCCCTTCATATCACAGAACATCGAGGATGCTAATATGGACTTCTCTGCATTGTGTAAGAACCAATTCAAGGTCAGGCGTGGTGGCTCATGCCTGTAATCCCGGCACTTTGGGACGCCGAGGCAGTGGATCATCTAAGGTCAGGAGTTCAAGACCCGCCTGGCCAACATGGAGAAACCCCATCTCTACTAAAAATACAAAAAATTAGCCAGGCATAGTGGCAAATGCCTGTAATCCCTGTAATGGGAGTATGAGGCAGGAGAATCACTTGAACTGGTGAGGTGGAGGTTGCAGTGAGACGAGATTGCACCACTGCACTCCAGCCTGAGCAACAACAGTGAAACTCCATCTCGAGAAAAACAAAAACAAAGAACCAATTCCATTTTTGCATTTACTGAGGGCCTCCTGTGTGCTGTGTGCACTGCATGCACTCAATACATGTAAATTCCCTGTTCTCTTTCCAGGCAAACATTTATTAGCACTCACCATAGGGGGAAGTGGATGAGTCTAGATGTTTTTCATTATAACAAACAGAAAAACAGCTTGAACTAAGCCAGAGAGGAAAGTCTGAGAATGAAATAAATCACTGAACTCCCAGACATTGGAGAGGGCAGGTAAGTCAGGCTAAATAGTAGCCCCCATCCCAAAGATATTTATGTCCTAATCTCTGGAACCTGTGACTGTGTTACCTTGTATGGCAAAAAAAAAGAAAAAGAAAAAAAAAAAAGACTATGCAGACATGATTAAATTAAAAATCTTGAGAGGGGGGCTGGGGTTTATCCTGGATTATATAAGTGGGCCCAAAAAGAGATTCTAAAAAGGATGATAAGTATCCTTACAAGAAAGTCACACAGGAGCTTCGATGTAGAAGAGAAAGCAATGTGACCACAGAGGCAGAATTTGGAGCGATGTGACCACAGGTGAAAGAATGCCAGCAGCCACCAGAAGCTGGAAGAAGCAAGGGGCAAATTCTCCCCCTGGAGCCTCTGGAGCAAGCATGGCCCTGCGGATATAATACGTTGATTTCAGACTTTGGGACTTCAGAACTATGAGAAAATAAATTTCTGTTATTTTAAATAATCAGGTTTGCAGTGATCTGTGACAGCAGCCATGGGAAGCTAAAACAGCAGGGAAGCATGGAGCTTGTCCTCCAATAACTGGAGGTGGGTGCCATCTGCCCCTACAAACCCCCTCACCCTGTAGGCCCTGCATGAGCTGCCACCCCCTCTGACCTCATCTCCCCCGATCCCGTAAGCTGACTCTGCTCCAGCACTCCACTGGGCTTTGACCACACAAAGCTTTTTAATTTATTCAAGTCTCTGCTTAAGTCTTACCTTCAAGAGGCCTCTCTGGACCACTCTATCCATAAAGGCACCTCCATCATTCTCATTTCCTCCATGCCACTTAAGTTTTCTTCATATACTTATTGCTACTTGAAAATTTGTTGTGTGTGTGTGTGAGTGCATGCACATGTGTGCGTGCACGTGTGTGTCTGTGGATGTGGATGTGTGTGCCTATGTGTGCACATGTACATGTCTGTGTGTGCACGTGTGTGAGTTTGTGTGTCTGCTTCCTTGATGGTTGTGAGTTGTCCCCACTAGAATTTGAGCTTTGTGGGTACCGGAACCTAACATTCCACTATCGCAGCCATTCTCATTCAGTCCTGAAGCGTAGGTTGAAGGCTAACTCTGCGTCAGGCCCTAATCGGTGTGCTGTGAATAAAACAGAAGCCTGCTGTCTCAGAGCTTACCTCCTCCTGAGAGAAGACAGACACTGAGCAAGCAGCCCCAGGTAATAACAGGCCCCACCATACTGAGCGCTGAGGGCATTTACACTGCAGGGGGAGGGGGAAGGAAGTTGCCAGAGCAAAGAGGAGGTGACATTTTATGCAGGGTGGACAGAAGAGGCCTCCTGATAAAGTGACATTGGAGCCGACACCTGGAGGAAGTGAGGAAGAGTGCCCTGTAGATACCTCGGGCCAGAGCTGAAAAGTACAAGGAATAGCGAATGCAAAGGTCCTGAGGCAGGAGAGGGCTTGACTTGGCACAAGAACAGCAAACACCAAGCAGAATGCTTGACCTGTGTTAGACCCCTGTAAACATCTGAACCACATACATGCCAGAGGTGAATTTCACAATCTCGGAAGTCTGGCTGTGCAGGTTCAAATTCCAGTTCTCCTCCTTATCCCTTGGGTGAGTTTGTTTCTTTCAGTTTCCTTGTCTGTAAACTGATAGTAACATGCGCGTCTCCCTTATTAGGTAGTTTTGGGGCTAAAATGCATTGGTGTATGTGCAGCATTAACTGCACCTGGCACATGAAAAGCACTAAGCAATGATTAGGGTTACATTATCTGACTCTAAACTGTAGTCCCCATCCTCCCCATGAGGAGGAGCATGGAGCCCACAGCGCCTGGGCCCCTCATTGTGCAACTGCCGACACCAGACAGCCCTACTCACCTCAGCTCAGTTAGAAAATACTACAGAAAGTTGGCCCTGCTTGGGTCCAGAGACTCACAGGGACATGGCAAGGCAGTAAGGTTAGGGAAGTCCACTAAAGAAGACAAATAAAACAAAAGATGAATAATTTAAGGCCCTTGGTGGAGATTCTGTGAAACTTGCTGACCACAGATGGGAAGGGTAGGGAATGGATGGGAGACAGAACTCCTCAGTCCAGTCCTTCTACTGCTTTGGGGCCCCAGGCATGGCACAGGTGAGATGACCTACCAAAGACAGAACAGGGGGCATGCCACAGGGAAGCTGTAGCCCCCACTAAGGCCCAACAGGCCACTATTTTACATGTCCTGCCCAGGCCTCCCCATCCGACCCCAGGATGTCAGTGGCTACACTCCAAGCTCCCTGAATCAGGGCATCTGTTTCTCTCCCTCCCCTTCTGTTTGCTCCTTCCTGCAACTCTTCTTTAGCTCTTTCCTTCCCTTCCTATGGTTCTTGTCCCATGCTTCTCCTGCCCCAAGGAACCCCCATCAAGGCTGCCAAAGGCCCAGCCTCTGCGATAGGTCCTCCTGAAAGATGGGTCCATTCATGTCACTCTCCTCAGGCCTTGAGGAGCCTCCATTTCCCCCCGCAGGTGAGACCTAGAGCTGGAAGAAGAGGAGCAAACACCATTTGGCAGGGGCTTCTTACACCCTGGCAACCCCAGAATGGCAGCCTTGCTGCAGTATTGGGGTGGCAGTATTGGTGTCGGGTGAGAGGAGGCGCCAGCCTGGACAAGAATAGTCCTTCCTCCCCACAAGACACACTGCTCGGAGTGCATCTATATGTCATCGGGCTAGGGAAGTGGGGGATGCCAAGCCTAGCCAAGCACGTTTCTAAACTCTATCTAGATGGTACTGTATAATGGCACTTTGCTACACAGATCATTCTCAACCTTGCTTTTTGGCTCAATATTTGAGGTATATCCCGGTTGGTTACCTGTAACTCTAATTCATTCATCTTCAGAGCTGTATAGTATTCCATTTTCAATACATTACATTTGTGATTTCTATGAATGGATGGAGACCTTAGTTGTTCCTGTCTCTCACTATCCTAAACAGAGACAGTTTCATTGTGTCTCCTGATGCAGGCACCAGTGCACACACCCACAAGTAGAACTGGAGGGTTCTACGGGTTCTGTGCTTCTTCAACTCCACTGGATTTGCCAAATCGTGCCCCAGTGCCATTAAACGAACATATACTACTGCCAGACACAAGAAAATTCCTGTCGTTTCATGCTTATGCCAATATTTCCTATGGTCATGCTACAGGGAAGTACAGGACTCCTCAGTTCTTGTCTGCTTGAAAGAAAGATCTTAGCCAAGAGACACACAGCAAAGGTTAAGTAGCAGACTTTACTGAAGAAAGGTAAAGTACATTCCTAGAGAGGAGTGGGCTGACCTGGCTGGAGAACAGCAGCAGGTGAAAAATCACAGTAGCAGTGTTTATTTAAAGAGACAGTACACCCTGAAAGAACAAGCCAGCAGCAGCTAGTGCCGGGGGTCCCTCTTTATGAGAATCTTATGTGATTATTCATGAAGGGACATGAGGGGTTCCACTTACAATCATGTTTTAGGTGGTCCCCTTGGCCATGAATGTTCTGTGGTTGTACATGTTAGCACACACATTGCATGTCTCATTACCATTTAAAATCGCCACCCAGGGGTGTGTTTTGTTTTTATTATCATGAGCAGAAGGCTACTTTAGGGCTCATTACTGTAGGAGTGTGCATGCTCATCAGTGGGACAGTCCCTACCATGGTTATCTCCAAGTAGGGCCTCATAAGTCCCCTTTTGGGTCAGAGGAGCCCAACCACAAGGCCAGAAGTAGCCAGTATAGCCACTGGCTTTTTGCTGACTGTCAGTGGGTGACGCTGACTATCAATGTACAGAGCTTCCGGGACTTCTTTTCCCGAAGGCTGCCTTGTCTGCTTCTTTCTGGCTACCTGCCTATCCTCACAGACTTGTCAATTTCTTACCAGTCGGATAGGGCAAAAGGGCATGTCATTGCAGTTTTAATTGGGTCTCACTGCTGCCTAATGCAGCCAAGCATCTTTCCATACACAGGCTGGCAGTACTGTTATTTTGTTATTATTGTCATTAGTTAAAGATGTTGTGACAAGAGAGACAAATAGTCCCAACTTCACTGAGGCAGTGGTAGTAAAGAAGAGTGAGTGGTATCAGCAGCTTCCAGGTGTAGGGGCCACTGGAAGGTCTGAATGTCAGTTAAGGAATCAGTCATTTGCTCCACCTAGCAGCTCCCCTGGGCCACTAAGCTATAGAGGGTCTAGTCCTTAGGGTACTGGAGTAGGGAGTCAGAGGAGACACCAGTCCTGGGTACACACAGCTCCTGCCCAAAGTGAGGTCACCACCAATGAGGACACAGCAGAGGGAGTGCCAAAGGAAGGCTGGGGTGAGGCTGGAGTGGGAAGGAAGATGGAGCTGAGCCTGGACGGGGTTGGGCTGAAATGGAGTGAAAGTGGGCTTTGGAGGGTGGGGGTGCATTTAGTACTGAGGGCGGAGTTAGAAAGGAAAGTGCGGCTGGGTGGATCAGGTGCTGATGGCGGGTTTGTGAGGTTGAGGTGAGGCTGGAGGTGGGAGTGGTGGCAGAATTTGGGGATGGGTTGGGGCAGGATGGGCTGGAGGTTGGAGGGTGGTGTGGTTGGTCATAGGAGGTACCTTCTTACCCAGTTTTGTTAAGAACACTTAGATAACTGTTATGTAAATATAGTTTCAAGTTCATGTTCTTACATCCCCTGCCCTAAACTCCAGTCGGGTCATCTGGAGCTGCCTCCAGAAACCACATGGCAAGTGACCAGCACAGTCCTGCAGGCTACGGAGTGACAGTGTGGTGTAGTGGTTAGGAGCACAGACTCAGGAGCTGCACAATATCTGGACTCAAAACTCTTTAGAAGTCTAGGTTTCCCCATTTGTAAATCGGAAGTGGTAACAATAGAACTCACTTCATAGGATGCATGACTTAGTGTATTTAAGGTTCTTTGTAGAATGTCTGGGGGCATAGTAAGTGCTCAATAAACACTAGCTGCCAGGTAGCGTTATAGGGAAGGATGCCCCCTAGGCCTCCAGAGGAGGGGTCAGGGATCCTCTGGCCCAACAAAGAGCTTTCCCTGATGGCACAGAAATGAAGAGGGGAGTGACAGTGAGTTTCAATACTAGCAGGGGAACTGGACCTTGAGGAGCTGATCACCCGCAGATCTTTCTGTTAGGGTAAGTCATTGTCAGTTTCCAGGGTAGAAAGACCTTGCTGCTTGCCAATCATGAGGTCCAGAGTGAGCCTCTAGCTTCTTAAACTTCCTGGAAAATTGGGGTACATTTTGGGTTGACACAATGATAAAGGAGGTAAGGCCTAGGGACAGGAGCTGGTGCTGGGTGGCCTTGCAGTAGAAAGGGGAGTCTCACACCACTAAGAAAGGACCCTCCTCCCACACCTCCTGCCAGAGCCTACTGCGGCTGCAACCACACTCCCAATAACCTAACCCAAACCTTAACTCATTTGTCATATAAACTTAAAGGATTTCTTGTACAGTGTTAATAATATACCAAATTTTCCAGGAAAGAAACTATTGTGTCA